TTACTAGGATTCGAGAAAACCAGCATTTGAGCAGAGGGTGCCTCCTGCACTAAACTGCTGGTGGAAAGAGGCTGATGATGAATCACCCTCTAAACCTTGAGCTTGTATTCTCTCCTCTCCAAACCAGCTCTTCACTACCATGTCCAGAAGGGGCTGAGCAAGAGTTGTCCTCCAACAGAGATGCTCCTCAGGTGAGCTGGTGGCTCTGGGCAGCTCTGCTGCGGGGGATCTAAGGTGCAAGAAGACAGATAGGGCTGTTAGGGCAGAGCTCCACAGTACATCACTCACTCCTTCATCCTACACCTTGGACTGAGGCTTGTCTTTCACAGCAACACCTCATCTGGTTTTAGGGCCTCCGAGAGATAATGGCTCCATCATCTTTGTTCAGAAACCACTCTCCCTAACTACCCTTTCTTAGAATCCTAAAGTGTTTGGTGTTGGGAGGGACCTCAAAGATAATCTAGTTCCAACCTTTCACCCAGGATAGTAGGCTTTCACAGATGAATAATTCTATTTCAGCTTTCCCTCTGGGAATTTGTTATGACTTTCCCAGCAATACAGCAATGAATTTCTGCCATCAGGTATCTCCTTCACATGTAAGGGCAAGGAAACCCTACTCATACCTGCTGTCCTGATCCAGCTGCATTTGGGAATGAGTAGTTCCTGTACTGCACACGCAGTTCATTCCATGGAATTCAAGGGGGGGGGGGGGAATGTTTAAACTGAAAGTATGGCAATGTCCCGTTGGATCCCTGGATGCAAGATAGGACAAGGGGGAACAGGTTTAATCTGAAAGAGATATAGATTAGATGTTAGGAAAAGGTTCTTTACTGTGAGGGTGGGGAGGCCCTGGCACAGGCTGCCCAGAGAAGCTGTGGATGCTTCATCCCTAGAAGTATCCAAGGCCACTCCAAGGTGTCTCTGCCCACAGCAGGGGGGGGTTGGAAATCGATGATCTCTAGGATCTCTTCCAACCCAAACCATTCCATGATTCCATGATAACCAGAGCAAGCAGGACCAAGCAGTAGGACACCCACCAGCAGCTCACCCCATGCTGCATCACCTCCATCCCAGGGACACCCCAAGTTTGCATTCCAGCAGCGCAGGGATGGAGAACATATGGGCATGTTTGCCTTACACAATAAAAGAATAACCAGAAGGCTCCAGCTCTGTCTTTTTTTGATGCGAAGGCAGCCAGAGAACTGCCCTCTCCCACGAGCCCGGTGCTCAGCCTATGAGATAATACAGACTGGCCTTTTCTTTGCAGCTGTATTGTTTTAGTGCTTGGAAAATGGCAGCAGGCTGAGCAATGAGTCATCTGTCACTAGATGGGGTTAAAGTAATTTCCGTTTTCTGTTGCCATGGGGAAATCAACGTCCCAAGATTTGTCCTTTCTCCCACTCAAACACGTGGGAGTAAAAAGCCTGAAACCCAGCAGGACTAAACTTTTTTTTTTTTTTTTTTTTTTTTTTTTTGTCCCCTGATAAACAAACTTCCCTCCGTGGCCTTGCAGCTGTCAGTCTGTTCCCGGAATCGTCCGGTTAACAATGTCATTCCCCTTGGATTGCAAAAAATCCAGAAGCAGAGTTTAAGTAAATATTTGGCATTCATATAGGAGTTGCTCCATGCCATTACTTGTTAAGAGTCTCTTTTGCTTGTAAAGTTTTACATGTACATTTGAGAGGGTTATAAACTTGCTATTACACAAATAAAACTGAAGCTTCAAAGGAAAAGTAAATTAAAGTAGCAGCTCCCCCAGCCATATAGTGTCAGGATATAGTGTCTAACAGAAACAGGAAAGAGGAAATTGCAGTAAATACCGTTTAAAAGCCTCACTAATGTATAGCTTATATGAGTAGCAGCACAGCAACATCTAGTGTTGATCAGGAATATAGCTGGAAGTTATCACATGCTTCATTAACGGCGTTTTGATGGAATCAGGCATTTCCTGGACCATCGTCACACCACAACCACAGCCTCAGCTCCTTCTCCCCCGTGTTCCATAACGTGTCAGTCCTTCATGCTCCGTGTCACTGCTTGTGTTAGCATTGCAGGAGTGCAGTCATCTGGGCGTGCTCCCAGCCTGCCTGGATGCTTTGGAGAATTACTGGGGTTCTGTTTACGCATCAGGTCAATAGATCCACAGATTTAATTGCAATTCGGTGGCCAAAACTTACAGCATCTGAACTGAAATTAAGGAAGTGATATTTTCCGAAGAGCTGATCCCGTTACCAGCTGAATCATGAACCCCAGGACTGCTTAAACACTGCTGTCAGACTGGTTCAAAGTTATTCTTTTCACTAGAAGTCAGAGTGCAAGTGTAAGGTTGCCACACTAAGTGGTATGTCAGAGTAGACCCCGTTTTCAGGCTCCTGTATTTCCACAAAAATGCAGGGATTCCTATATTATGCACAGTAATATAGACCATCTATAGAAAAATTGATCAGGTGCATATTTAATCTCTCACCATATCCCATGTGGACACTTCTTTTAATTTAAAAGACACCTGAGGCTCAAAGTTAATTCTTGATACTTTGGTCCTCTGTAGGTATGAATTAACATTATGGGTTAACATTCATTTAATTTTGATTACTTAAAGTTAACTAAACTAATCAAATTTAATTTGACATTAGTTAAGTTCTTTTAGTTTAGGTTTAATTATTTTTAATGGCTTTGTTAAACTCTCATAGTTTGTTGTTGTTTTGTTTTTTTTTTTCATATAAGCAAATCCTTGTATCAGGGCTCACTGCAGACTATTTAGATAAAATAATTTGTCTCCTTAAATTACAGCTCCTATTACATGGGGTTTGCTTCATCTTCAGTAAAATAATGTACTTTGGGTTTTCTTAAACAAAACAAAATTAATGACTGGCTGCTCTCCAAGTCCAGCTGTCTTGCAATACCCCGTGAACAGATTTTTTGCCACATTTAAGTTTATTACATGATCTAATTAGCATGACTGTGTAGGTGCGTGGAATGCACTGGGGGAGAGGAAAAATACAAGTGTACAAAATGCTTTTATATAATTTGCTATGGGAACGTGCTTATTACAGGGACCTGGATCACTCTCTGGATTCTTTTCAGCAAGATTTTGGGAGCAAGCAATAAGGCAAGGAAAAAGAAAGGACATTCAAGTCTATCATAGAAAAAAGAAAAGGGCCAAGAGTACCACCTGATTTTTGTGGCTTAGAAACACAATCACAAATTTATAAGGTATTAATTCTATACTCACATTTGCTGCTTTTGTCTCCAGACAAAACAATTCAGTAAAATTCAATGCCTGACTGGAAGTGAGGACTGCAAGCTTGTCAGCTGCGCTGCGAGGCTCGTTCAACATCAGAATGAAATACAGCTTCTAATTAATAGCAAGAAAATAGAGATTGTTAACCACTCTGACCATGAGAAAGGCATCAGGGTGTCTATTGGAAACACACAGCCAGACCAGAGATCAGAGCTCTGCCTCATGTTATTAAGACATTCACACCACCCTAACCAAATTAAATGGAGGCTCAGTAACACGAAGCGACCAGGCTCCCTTTTCTTCCTCCTGCGTGCATGAAATGACATTTTAAAGTGACGTGTGATCTCTCAGAGCTGTAAAGGGGTCAGGCACCAGGCGCATCTGGCACGCTGATCCTCTCGTACAGGAGCATGAAGTCATGCTCCAAGCTGCATTCCCGAGTGAAGAATGTGTAATTTTCCACGTGTCACTTTACTGACTTGCACGCTGAACGGAGATTAATATTAATTCCATTGAAGTTGGGGCTTATTTAAGAACATTGCAAGCCTTGCTAACTGTGTTTTAATTAAACTAGAAATAAAATAGTGTTTGGTAAAGAGAGCTGGTGTTTTTTGAATAAACACTCCCCACACAGCCTGCTGTGCTCTGCCATAAATCAGCTCAGTGCTGGATCCCACCCGACAGGGTGAACTGGGTATTAGAGGGTCCTCAGAGGTGTGAGTTCAATGGTAAAATTACTACTTGTTAAATTTGCCACTCTGTTTTTCGCTGCTGTGTAGAGGTGATGTTGTCACCACAGCAGCCCGAGGAGCCACCACCCTTCAAGCTGACTTGCCCTGAAGAACAACTGTCTCCTTTGAGTCTTTAGGAGGGTCAGGATGTGCCCTGGGGTTGTACCCCAGTGCCAGCCTGGCTGGTGGCAGCACCCAGCTGGGGGAGGATGGGTCTGAAATCAGTTTGATGATTATTATCAGCAGTGTAATCTGGGATTGCAGATGATAAAGTACACAATTGCTTTGGCAACTTCCCACCTCCCAGGCATCTCCCAAAGCTCTCAGAGCCCTCACCTTTCATGTTTGGGGCGAGCAAAGACACCAACAGCGTGAAGTGCACGATTCACTTGATTTCAAACTACCAGCTAGAGTCTCTTCCCTCCAAATCCCTTGTCACACACCTGTTACACCAACAGTGACTGTCCCTGGGGAGAAGGTCCTGCGTGGGAGGACGTGTCCGTGTCCTGCAGAGGCTGGATTCACACTGGCTGGGATGAGCAGGTCAGGGATGGAAACAGCCACGCCAGCTGCTGTCAGCGAGCCCTGGCTCTCTCTGTGCTGGGAAGAGGCCTGTCCTCTTGGGAAGGAGCAATTCAGAAATCACAGGATGGGCTTTCTGTAGCTGAAAGGGAAGGGCAGTAAGCTTGGAAAAAAAAATCATATTCCTGGGGGCGAAGAAGTCTGATTTACCACAGCATAATACCTTCTGTTTCTGTAGGAACATCTGAAGATAAACAGAATAGTGCTTGTGGTGCCAGGTAAACAGCTCTCCATGCCATGGCTACAGTCTCTAAGGAGCTGCTGTTTATTATGAGCCATTTCTGCCTCGGCTTTAGTGACAAACCCTCCTTGCAAATCCAGCAGGGAGAGGCTCACAATGAAGGGAAGAGCTTGTATGGAGTTGCCAGAGGGATACTTATTACCTTTGGGATTTTAAGATATTTTTTTTCCTGGAATTTTTGCCTTCCCCCTCCTGTTTTTTTTCTTATAAGCGCTGGTCCTTTGGATGGAATTTTTGTCTCGCAGCTCCCCTTTGGAATGGAGCTTTGTTAGGCAAACCAAAAGCATTATCAAAGGAAAGATGTTAGTGATCCTACAGAGACATGAAAAAGTCACTATATTTGAATTATTTATTTCCTAGTTCATGTGAACTAGCTTTAAACTGATAAATGCTCAGAACAACATAAAACTAAAGTGAGAGGCTCCCTGGAGGTTCTTAATAATATTTAAATTTGCAGTAAATATTGGTGTATTGATAATTATCATGGCCTTCTGATTTTTAATTTCCCTTCACAACGAGAAGCCTCAAACTTTCTGTTTCTGAGCCTAATTTGGATTGTTAAAAGAGTGCAAATTAGGTGTATAAATATAAATTAGGGTCCCCAGGGTTGTGTTGGTGTAATTGTGATAATTTTTTTTTGCACTTTTCTTTGGTTCATTTCCTAAGTTTTTTGCATTTCCAAAGGGATGTTTTAAGTCACACAGTGAGGCAGGTACAGCGAGCTTTACAGAGTAAAAGCTCAGGTAGGCACATGGTGTGAAATCCTCATCCTCCTCACTGAGAGCACAACACGTGCCTGGTGCCTCCTCATAGAAACTGACTGTTTGCCCTACATAAAAGCTGATGAGGTGTTTTTTTGGGGGGGGATGAGGTCCCATAGCTGCAAGGGTTTGGAGGTGCTGGTGGCCCTGTGGCAGCAGGTGAAACACTGAGGAAGCAGAGTCAAAGCAGGGGTTGGAGGAAGGGTGCATCTTCTCCCCCTCACCCTAAGGGCTGCACAAAGACATCTCCAGGGGAATCCTAGCCTTGTTTGCCCAGTGGACATGGTACTTTTCTTGTGATTGAGATGCAAGGACGTAGCCGTGGGGTTTTATACCCGTGTGTTCCCACCACACAGCTGGTAAACCCTGACACAGTTGGTTTTTTTCCTTTTAATCCACAAGGAGAAGGAAACAGTTTTTTCACGGCACTGTCATTTCTGTTGTCCTTATAGCAAGGAGTTGACTGCAGTACTTTATGGCTTCCCTACCCTTCCATCAACCTTGGGATGTTTATTTTTTCTTCAAACATAGCTGTTTGCGGCACACTAACAAGAACCGAGGATCTTTTAACACTGCTATTTGTTTACTGAAGACATCAAAGCCTTTTTTCCACGAGCCCTCTTTGAGTCAGTGCAATCTGTGTTTTGTGCCTTACAAAATAAAACGACAGCAAAGCACTGAAGATACAGGTATTTTTCTTACCTGGAGGTTCTAAATTTAGCCCTGCTTCCTCCCTCATTCCTCAGCTTCTCAAACTGTTTTGTTCCTGAACCTGCAGTTCCAGCAGACCTTCCTGCTGCCTTCCAGTTGGGTGGAGGAACAAACCTGCCAGCGTGGACAGCGGCTGGGAGAGCAGCTAATCTAAAACAAATATTTTGTAACATCACCTATGAGCAGATGCATTTCCCTGCTTCACTTTGATGACCGCGATGCTAACGGGAAGCAGCGCTCAATATTTTGTGTTGGGTCGTGTCAGCTTTCGGTTCAGACCCAGACTGTGGGTGCTGGGAAACAGTAAAGGAAATGACAGATGTTGGCAGCAAATTAAATAAACATATCTGCCGAAAATAGTGGCCTAAGAAATACCAGGGTGTCCTTTTTATGGATTTCCTAGACACGATGAGGCTATTTTAAGGCGAATTGAACTCCCACTCCTTGCAGTGTAAACAGGATTATTCCTTCTATGGAACATATGGCAGCCTAAACGTCATTGTTTGTGCATCACCGGTATTTCCAGTCATACTTCAAGTATTGTCTTGCCCCAAACCTGCATTTCACCACTCAGAGCCCAGTGTCAGGCTTCGGGGAGTGCTAAGCACTGCCAGCACATCACAGGAAGCGTTTCCATGGAGGACAAAACCTAAAGCCTGTCCATGGAGAAGGACCTGCTGGAGCTGTGCCAACAGATCAGCTCCCTCAGGTCAGCTGGGGTGTGGACAGCAGGGAAGAAGAGGGGCAATGAAGGAGGAGGATGGGACAAGGACTGGCCTGTGTGGGGTTTTATTCCACAATGAAGCAACTCACCCCACGACGCGCTGGCTGAAGATTACAGAGCAGGCAAACATCCAAGGCTTTCCAAGAATCGGGAATGGTGATGTGCAAGGTCAGCGCAGGTAAGGCAGATCTGCATGGGCAAGGTACAGGCCATGAAAAACGCTGATTGCAGTGCTCGGGAAGGGGCTGGTGTGCTGAGAGTATTTTCAGCAGCATTCAACTTACTTTCATTCACAGCATTCACACAACCTGCTGTCATTCACCCTGTCACAGCAGGGGAGGACAACCTGCGTGCCCTGATGTTCATGGCAGTGCTGGGAACCTGGTGCAAGGAGGAGACCCAGGAGGGAGGGGCTGGGTGGCAGAGGATGCGCTGCTCAGCAGCGTTTAACCCTGAAAACACCAAAAGGAGGTGCAAGAGGCAAGCAGCACAAACCTTTCTCCTTCCACCAGCTTTAAACCAGGTGAGCAGTGCTGGTACAACAGAGTGCAGCCAAAGAGGCTGCAGGTGTACGTGGGACAACAGTTTTGGCCACTTCCCTTGGCTTTGGGTGCTGTGGAGCTCAGGTGTAGCACATGGCTTAGCAAGGCAGGGCTCAGCCTCCCAGAGATGGGGTGGAAACAGGATTAACAGTTGCACAATCCCAGGGTCCCCAGGGAGCTGGGAACAGCGACAAGGCTCCCTCAGGGACATAACCAGGCTGCTCCTCCAGTCTCAGCACTCAGGTGTCTCCTGCAGAGCACTTCCAGAATCCTGCCTTAAGAAATAAAAACAAAATGGCAGATCCTTAAAATAAAAACACAAAGAGTTTTAAGCATATCCAACTTTGGGATAGAGCATAAAATTTCTTGCCAGAAAATTTAAAACGAACTGGAAACTGATCATCTACTCATTTAAACGATGTGCCTGGAGCTAAACCAGCAAGGCTGAATAATCTCTGCACTGCTTTCATCCTCCTTCAACTTTTCCTTTGTTCCATCAGCCACATGTGTGTTAAGTGTAAATTGAAGGGCTCTTCGCTGGAAAAGCAGATTGTGAAAAGGGCTTGGCCGTCATCTTATAATTTGGCTTCAGTATTACAATTACTCTTACTAGCACTCTTGTTTTGTTGTATTATTTATCCTGGCTAGAACCCTCTAGGATCCCCTAAAGGCTTTTTTTTTTTTTTTTCCTGGTGGATTTAGCCAACATCCACTCATGAATCCAGATGTTTCTGCTTTTATCCACGGGAATTTAATGGTATGGATATGCCAAGATCATAACTTGAGGCTCAGCCTCAGGACAAGTATTTTTCAAACTCCCTAAATAAAAAAATGGAAAGTGCCACAAAAGAACCTGAGTCTTACTGCACTTTAGCATGCCAGAATGGAAATCAAACCACAGGACACTGTTGCTCAGGGTTCTGGAGCTGTGTTGATACAGCGTCCTACATTGCACCAGAAATCACAGCTCAGATTGTGCTATTTTGTGTCCTCAGACACAGATTTTGCCTGTAGCACAAGTTCAACTCTTCTTCCCATTCACCAGCCTGAAGCCAGGAGCACAAATACATGTGGGTCCAAGATGCTTACGCCGGGAAAAAAGATTCCACCCTGCAAGGCAGAATTAGCGCTGGCGTTTTCAAATGAATGAACATGTGCCTGTGTATGTCACAGATAATGCTCCCCAGGCAAAACTGGTTCCTAAATAAGGACAGGGATGAAACATACCCTGCCCTGATCGGGACCTGACCGAATAACACAAGGTCTGCTGTGCCTTTGGCAGCACTTGGGAAGAATAACCAACCCCAAACTCATTCCTTCCTTTATCCAGAGTGATAAAAGCAGCATGAAGCAGACATTAAAATAACCTTAAACTTCTGCACTGCCTGGAGTTTTCTTCAGGCACTCCCATTTGTGGCATCCTGAATTTTTTTTCCCTGCTCCCCATGTGTCAGCATGGGGATCCCAGTGAAAGCTGGTGTGCTCTGGTGGTCAGTGCTAGCGTGGTGGTGTGGATGGGGTCTTGTTGGGGATGGCCATGTCTTGTACCACAAGTGCCCTGAGGTATTTCAGTGTCAGGACACTCAGGAGCATGGAACAGCAAATGCAGGAGATGCACAGAACACTTTTCAGTGGCCTTTTGGCAACCAACACTAAACATCTTCTGTGAGCATGCCGTGCACGGTAAGGATGTGATATCATGCCTGACTCCCTGAAAGGTGAATTTTAGCCTTTCCTCCAGGACACTCCCAGCTGGCCTTGAGTGCATACCAGCAGCACCACGGTCCTGACTTTACTCTGCACAATCCAATCCCATTTGAAGCCCCCCTCTGTGTGCTGGACAGGGGAGGAACATGGAACAATTATTCCAGCCTGGTAGAGAAGAGCCCGTTGTGCTCCCTGAGAGGCTCCAGCACAGCAGCCGGTTATTGCCTGCTCTAATAGCATTAGTTCTTTACCTGCAGAGATTTTGGATCAAAGGAAATTTAAATTACTCCTAAAAGCTCTTCTAAGGCTTCCCCCAGCATGGAAAAGCCTCTCAGCTGGCACAAAGGATGGAGCTGGCTCCGTAGCAAAGCCCTCTGGGGCAGGGATGTGCCAGGACAAGGAGGAGGCACAAGAGCCAGGGCAGCTGAGCATCCAGCAAAGCTTTTCACCCACCTACCTCGGAGCTGGGATCAACCAGGCCAAAATCCTGCTGAGGGCAGGGGTAGGTGGTGCCACCAGGCAGGGTGACAAGTCCAGGGGTCTGTATAGTGTCACATGCAGGCGGCAGCAAGGGAGCAGCAGAGTTAAGCTGGACAATGCATTCAAAGAGAAAAGCACTTTTTTGTTAATATTGTGGGTCAAATGTGCTGTGTAGGGCTCACCAAAGGTACACATTGTATGTCCCACCAGCACAGTCATTCTGCCACTTCCTATCACATTTTCTGTGTTATAATGAGGAATTTTTAAAGCACTCAGCTATGCAGTTTAAATTTTAAAGGCCACCCATTGTACTTAAACACTATATGACAAAGTGTATAAGTATACCTGTTCCAATTTATTCTCCTAGTATTCTTATTAAAATATGGTTTCAATGACTTTGCCTTCCCTGTTAAAAAAAAAAAAATAAAAAAATAAAAAAATCTGCATTTCTCTTTAATAAGTTCATGACATTCAAGCTACTAATTTCCCTTACCATCACATCCTTTTTTGGACACAGAATAAAGGAGATAAAAAATATATAAAAAAAAAAAAAAAAAAAAAAAAAAAAAAAAAAAAAAAAAAAAAAAAAAAAAAAAAAAAAAAAAAAAAAGGAGGCTTATTCAAGTTGGAAATGAAGAAACACAAAAAATATTAAGCCTTTTAGTTTTAAAGGTTTCTTTTTTAAAAAATAAATAATCACTCAGCAAGTCATAAAAGTGATAAAATGCTTTTGTCTCCATTTCAGGGGGAGGCCAGTTTTGCCTTCAACATCCTGAGCATCGCAGGCGCCTCAGTGCAGTTTTCTGCTGCCGTTGCATCTTTGCTCCTTGGCCCATCCTGCTACTGCTGGCTGGCTGGGATCACTGGGAGCAGCTACCTGGGTTACAGTTCTGTTCCCCTTCCCCTGTGCCGACTTCCCAAACCTCTGCAAAGACCCACTGAGGGATGAGTGATACCCCCTCACCCTTAAAATACTGGACTCATGTTTGAGTCTGGCTGTATTCTGTGCAGATTGGGGGTTTTTGATGACTTTTGTGGAGCTGCTGCGGTTTGGGCACTTCAACACGAGCATCAGTCGCAGCTGAGAAGGTGGATGGCCGGGAGGGTGGCACAGCTGGGCAAGGACGGACAGGGCCTGACTGCACTGCCACGGGGTTCGTTACACCAGATCACTTTATGAGCCAGTAATTTGGTCCTTCATATCCATTATATCCCAGTGATGTTTTACCTATAGGGACATACCTTTTCCATATGTAACCTGGGCGTCTGAATTTAAAGGGTGGGTCAAATTTTATGGAGATTATACAGTCTGCTTTTTTCTTTTACGAAAAGCAGAATCTGAAGATTTGCCTTTCTGCTCTTCCTTACGGCTTGAACGCTGCTCTGCCATTAACACACAGAGCTGTCAGAACCTGCACAGACCTAGGTATGAGATGGACATGGATCTGATCCCAACGTGGACCTCAACAGCAAGAGGAGTGTGAAAAATAACCACTGTTCAGCATGTCTTATCTCTGCTCCAGGTAGAGCCCTAGGCAGGAGCACCTCGACAGTGCAGCAGGATGAGAGGTGAGGGCAGGAGGAAAAACAGGTGACCCAGAGCAGAGCCAGAGCGCAGCACCATGCCCCAAGCAGCTCCTGCATGAGGCATAGCATCAGTTTCCAGCTCCAGCATTCCTCCAGCTCCCACATCTTGTAGGACTCGCTGTTGGTTCAGACATTCACATATTTTGCTGTGCTGAGGGAAATCTCACCTTCTGTGCATGCTGTCCCTTGGGGTTTTTCTTGCCTTTAACCTTTGTTTGGAGCCAGTCTTGAATCCCCCCAAAAAAACCAGTGTTTCCATGACAACAGCCCAGTAGTGGGCTCCTCTGGGACACCTGAAGAATCAAAACACAGCCAATGCTTCCTCCTGCTGCAGCATCACTCCCCATGGTACCACAGCCGTATCCTGTCCCCTCTCCCTCCTCTTGTGCCACAGTGGGCTGCCAACTGCCCTGGCCAGAGCTCTGCCTGCAGTGGCATCACTGGCATTTACTGACTGATAAGTTACACTGCACAAGGGGTGGACAGGCAGGTATTGGACCGTGGAACCATCTTATTGAGTGAGAAAGGCCAGAAGGGTCTTCAGTCCAAAGGACTGGACAGCTCTTGCGTTTCATAATGCCCTAATCTTATTAACAAGATTCATAATTTTCATGCCCTCCTTGGTATTTTACAGGAGATATCAAGTGATCCTTCGTTACTCACAGCCCCTGCTTTGCTCCCAACAATCAGCATTTCTCTTGCCCACGTTCAGCAAAGCTCTGCAACCACTGAACCCAATGACCCTGTCCCTGCAGCACTCTGTCTGCCCTCAAACCAAGATTTATGAGGGTTATGCACGGATGCAGCTGCAAGAAGAGTCCAAAAGCTTTTGTTGCAATGCCACAAGCAGCGCAAAAAAACCAGCAAAATGCTCTTTGCATACCTGATCCTCGCTGAAGGGATACAAGCAGCACCCTCGAGCCCCAGATGGCAGGCTCTGAAGCAGGACCCAAGGAGGCAGCGTGGATGTGTGCCAGCCTGACAATGGGGTTTCGTTTAACAAGCACAGATTTAAGTGTGGAAATCAAATATGAAACAGTCGTGGCCAGCATTGTCTGCATTCTTGGAGTGGCACTGAACTAGCAGAAAGAAAAGAACCGAGACACTGGCCCAGACATGCTCCAGCTGTCTGCGACTACCTCTTCCCTCCTCCACTGAATGTAACTATTCAGCTTGTTTTCATTTCATTATTAGATGTTATTTTTGCAACCTGGGAAAAGAATAGAAAAATGGTGGTGGTGGGGGGGGAATGTCCTTCAAATGCTTTTGGGTTTATTTTTAAGAACCAGACTGTTTCTTTCCTATCAGTGATAAGTACAGACTTTTAGAAGTGCACAGGGCCCATGGTATTATTAGTTAAGAATTTGTTTCTCAAATAAAGTCCTTTATCTCAGAGGCAGCAGCACTTGCATTGCTGTGGTTATTCATGTAAGTCTCACTCATTTACTACTGAGCAACGTGCAATTAAATAGCCATAGAAACACCCACAGGCTGAGCAACAGCTGCCTACAGGTAACCTTCAGCTTCATGCACTCACTTGCCAAATGTTTCAGCTCTAGCCCTGAAAATCCTCGTGTGCATGTGGGAGCAGGGCAGGCCCTTTCCTCCATCACCGTGGGCACGGCACGAATCAGGGTTTTAACGAGTTGGTTTAAAGCCTGATGCTGCAGATCCCTGTAACAGGAGTGCTGCTCAACCCACCGCAGGGCCAGCACTTCCCTGCCTTCTCTTCCCTCCTCTGCCTTCCTCCCAAAAAGACAGCTTATCCATTTTTAATATTTAAGAGAACTCACATCCAAGAGAATTCACATTTCCTGCTCTTTGCACCAGTTTTGCTTGTGGTAGACACACCAACACACACTGCCCATGCCCCATGGCATAGAGGCCACCCTATGAAACAGTCAATCACCAAGCAAAGGGCCAGGGTTATAAAGTTTCCCAGTGGCCCTAATGGGAATTCTGAGTTTGAGCTGGACTTCTCTGGAAAAAAGTCTCCTCTCTTTGGATGCTGATGCAATCCAGCACAGCAGTAGTGCTTCAAGGAAGAAGTGGCATTCAGAGTGTTTCTTACCATTTATCTTCCTCTTTCAGGACGTACACCAATCCAGGAGCTCTTTTCATCTCAGCTTTTTCACACTCCCACAGTATTCCTGGCAGGAGAAGGTCAGGCATGTTTAAGTGTGAGATGCTGTCTCTGCAAAAATTGTTTTGTAACATCCAGAGTAGGTCTGCAATTCCAAACCTGGATATTGTAAGCTCCAACAAAGATTTTTGAAGTGCACCTCCAATAACTGCTGTACATGCACCTTGCTGCTTCCTGACAAATAGCATTGCTCTAAGGGCTTGCATGGGGAAGTTTAAACCTTATTTTTACCTTATTCCAGACAGTTCAGCAAGGGGACAGTTTTGATTTTTTTTTTGTTGTTTAATGAAAATTATTTCTCATGCTAGAATCTAATTTCTGCTCATTAGGGATAAAAATGATGATTTCAAGCAAGGAGTTTCTCCTCATCCATAAACTGTAAACATCTGCTCAACACTAAGCCTAGGAGCAACTCCATTTGCCTTAATATGTGTGCTTATCTCTAAGCAGGTGCTTAAGTGGTTTGTTGGCAAGAGCTGGAGTGCTTATGTCTTTCCAGGTGACCCTATTTAATAATTACCAGTATTAAACAGCTCAGTAACTATAAACACAAGGAAAAACCACCCAACACTGAGTCAGCTCTGCACAGATCTTTTCCAAATATGATTTCTGCATTAATCAGGGGGGGTCAAACTGTTCCATGCTCGAGGACTGACCCCAAAGCCACGGGAATCAGTGGAAGGGTGTTGACCAGTTACACCGGTTTGGGGATGGGATCCCCTGTGAGCAGAAACACCTTTCTGTCTTGGCACTGTGACTAACAGGGACAACAAAGGCTCTGCACTGACATTAAGAAAATTTGTTTTATGTCCTGACATCCTGTTAACCTCCAGCTCACTTAGAGGAAGCTGTTAATTTAATGGTTGCGTCAGAAAGATACGGCATTGCTGAGCAACGAAGGAAACCTCCCAGACCAGTGTCAGTATTAACACCTGCACAGGGCAGCACTGGCTGCAGGAATCTCTGAACAGAGCATAAATTTGAAGAATCTGCCCTTGACAAGGAGAAAACTTTCAAATCAAAGTGGTCATGGCTGATACAGACTCTAGAGACAGGCTCTGGTATCTTCCTCCTGCATTGTCTTCCACAGCAAAGCCTCTCTGGATCCTGTGGGTTTTTCCAGTTGAATTTGATGCAAAAATGGATGGATTAATCCTCTCCCCTCCCTTGGAGGTAAGAGGCTGCACACAGGGTCTTTATCTCAGCCTGATATAAAGAGCTCCAATCACTCAAATCCAGAGAAGTTTATTTTGCTATTGCCTTGATTTCACTGTAGTTCCATTTGACTATAGGTGGTATCCATTTTACTGAGTATCAAACTTATATTGTACATATATGCAAGAGTAGAGGTGGAAGGCAGTGGTAAGACACTTAGCTAAAATGAGATGTTTGACCTAAAAATAAAGATATAAAGGTCCTGGCTCCATAAAACACTTCAGCACATACCTAGCAGCAGACGTGCAGACGATGCTGTTGAGCTCAGCCTGACACAAGTGCTGTAACTAGTGTGATGAGAATCAGGATTTATTATAAGTCAGATGGAATCTTGAATACAACTGTGCTGTAAAACCATGGTTTTGATCCAGGGATGCCAGTACCTCACCTGAATAATGAGGCTGTAGTCTTTCCATCGCCTGCTCAGACACAGGCTTGCATTTATACACCAGAAGACACCCTAATTCACAGCAGCAAAGTAGAAAGATTTGGGTTGTTGCATTACTCTTAGGAATAAAACCTTTATCTCTGTGTGTCAGGGTTGCACTTTTAGCGTGCTGGGACATTGAGAGTCCCAGCTCACTGACCCACATTTGATGCTTCTACAGATTTGAGCACTGACCTTCCAAGCATGAGATCATTGACTTGTATCCCTGACTCCTGCAGCCCACAGCATTGCTCCAAACATCATTCCTGATTGTTGGTCACTCCTGACTGACTCATTCTCATTCTGTCTCTCATACAACCATCTGTCCTTTCCCAAACTCTACCCCTCCACTCTTCAACCTGTGGCTCAGGGTCAGCATCATCCTTCAATCCTTTATCCCACTGCTTACATTTTCCATCCACTGGCTCCTAACAAGAAATGGAAAGGAAAGTTCCTTGCAGCTTCAGCCAACCTCACCTCCTAAGGTCTTTTTGCCCAGAGGGACAATAACTAAGGTTCAAGCCAAGATACTATCTCGTCCAGACGGGGGAAGTCTGGAAGCCCTGATAGCTGATGACCTA